AAACATCGTAATTGTGACTACATCAACCACTTCCTCAGGAAGTTCATTCCACATGCGAACCATCCTCTGTGTTAAAACAAATTTGCCCCTCGTGTCTTTTTAAAATCTCTCTCCTCTCACCTTAGAAATATGCCTGTTAGTCTTGAAATCCCCCATCCTAGGGAAAGGACAATTCCATTAACCCTATACGCCTCATGATTTTATAAACATCTATAACGTCACCTCTCAACCTTCTACGCTCTGGTGAAAAAGTCCCTGGCCCATGGCCCGAAACGTCAGCCTTCCTGCTCCTATGATGCTGCTTGGCCTGCTGTGTTCATCCAGCTCTACACCTTGTTATCCCTGGCCTATGTAGCCTTTCTTTACAACTCAAACCTTCCATACTCTTCTGAGCCCTCTCTAGCTTACTAATATTCTTCCTGTTAATGGGCAGCCAGAACTGGCACAGTATTCCAGAAGAGGCCTCACCATTGTCCTGTACAATCTCAGCATGACTTCCCAACTCTGATACTCAAAGGACTGAGCAATGAAGGAAAGTATGTTAAATGCCTTTTTAACCATGCTGCCTATATCTGAAGCAAACTTCCAAAGAATTATGTACCTGAATCCCTAGATCCCTCTGCTCTACTACACTACCCAAGGCCCTACCATTAATTCTATAATTCTTATCCCTGTTTGTTGTATCGACATGCAATACCTCACATTTATCCAGATTGAATTCCATCTGGATTTTTTCAGCCCATTTGATCAAGATCCCTTTGTAATCTTGTTATCTGTCCAGATAAGGACAACATGCCCTATTGTAACATGAATTGTTTCTGAATAATTCCAGGATTTTCATCACTTCAACTGGAAATTTAGTCCATGTTCTAGTCATTCATAATTCACTCACCTTAGTTTATGTCCCCTAGTTAGATTCTTGCAATTTAAAGAAATATTCCAGTTTTCCTTTTTCCGTATATTTCACTGCCTTGCATGCATCTATAACCTCAACTTTTAGGTGTCTCTTTTGGAAAGCTTTAAGCCGAGTCTTTCAGGCACTAAATAATCCTCTCAGTCTCCAATATAGCATACAGGAATCACAGTTTCTTGCAAGCTGGAAATGCATTGCCAACCATATATGTTTAGATAAAGCCATATAAGCATTGTGGTCCTCACAGCTGAAGTAAGCCTAACACACTTTCTATTTTCAAATAAGGTTTCTAATGTTGGATGAGGTACCCCCTTGGATAGCTAATTACCCTAGCTATTGGGCTGACTGCATTCAGTAAACCGAAAGAGAGTTTGTGAGGCTTAGCAGGCAGCACTTAGTTCAACCACGATCAGTAACATAGTGTAACTGAAATCTACTTGACTGAATATGGAGCCAAGAGGACAGTCTCCACATTCAAATTCTTTCTTCAAATACCATGAGTGGAATAAAACAGATATCTATCAGCGTTTGTTACTGAAAAAGTCTGTTTCAGTATTGCATGATGCCCTACAGACTAAGTTCACCCACTGCATTCCAGCAGATAGTTTCTCATTCATGTCGTGTCGAGGGGGCACTTGACCTACTTAATGGCATGAGAGGAATCAAAGTGAATCAAGAATTGATCAGGATTCATTTTAATGAGTTACCAAATGGTTCCAGGTGGAATCATATTGACCAATCCTTGAAGTTGCTCTTCAAGCAAATCTTCTGCCTTAACCACATTAACTGCATGTTATTGATTCCCTTGGCCTAGCATTATATGCACCAGGCCTGGTTATTCCAACAACACCTTGGTCAGAATTGACAAAAGCCATAAGACCAGAAAGATTATCCCATCTTCCCTTTCTTGTCAAATGTTGCCCAGCCTGTTTAGCATGTAACTGTGAAACTTGACAAAAGTATTTCAAACAAAAAAAATTGCAGATGGCTACATTTACGTATCAGACTGTCATGACTGGCCACGGGAGATATACCAGAGGACTGGAAGACAGCCAATGTGATACCAATTTAGTACTCAAGTAGGCAGCAAGGGATAAGCCAAAAAACTACAGGCCAGTCAGTCTAACCTCAATAATAAGGAAACTATTGGAAGCAATTCTGACGGACAGGATTAATTTGCACTTGGAAAGGCTGGAATTAATCAAGAACTGTCAGCATTGTTTTGTTAAGGTGAACCATATCTGACCAACTTGTTTGAACTTTGCAAAGAGGTAACCAGGTGTGTGGATGAGAGCAATGCATTTGACATAGTCAACTTGGACTATAATAAGACTTTAGTTAAGAGCCTGCATGTGAGACTATTGGAAAGATAAGAACCCATGGGATCCAAGGAAATTTGGTAAACTCGATACAGAATTGGCTGAGTGGAGAGAAGCAGGGGGTGACAGTTGAGTTACTTTGTGACTGGAGACCTGTGTCTGGTGGGATTCTGTGGGGATCAGTGTTAGGACCTTTGCTGTTTGCGGTATATATAAATGATTTAGATTTAACTGTACGAGGGTTGATCAGTAAATTTGTGGATGATATGAAAATTGGTGGGTTGGGAATTAGTGAGTATGATAGCCTTAAATTACAGGTGGATATAGATGGACAGGTCAGATGGGCTGATCAGTGGCAAATGGATTTCAATTGGACAAATGTGAGATGAATGCATTTCAGAAGGACAAACAAAGCAAGGGAATACATGATGATTAGTGGAACCCTGGAAAGCACCGAGGATCAGAGGGACCTTGATGTGTGTGCTAGCCAGTTCCTTAAGGTAGCAGGGCAGGTAGATAAAGTGGTTAAGAAGGCCTATGCCTTTATTAGCCAAAGTATCGGTTTAATGCCAGGGAGATTATGCTGTACGTCTATAAATTGTTGATTAGGCCACAGCAAGAATATTGTGTGCAGTTCTGGAAGCTACGTTATAGGAGGGATGCGATTACACTGGAGAGGGCACAAAGAAGATTTACCAGGATGTTGCCTGGTTGGGAGAGTTCAGACAGACTGGGATTGTTTTCCTTGGAGCAGAGGAGACTGGAGGGGGAATGTATTGAAACATATAAAATTATGAGGATCATAGACAGGGTAGAAGGGAAGAAACCTTTCCCCTTGATGAAGAGATAAATGACGAGGATTTAAGGTAAGGGGCAGGAGGTTTAGAGCAGATATGAGGGCGGTGGGAATCTGGAGTTCATTGCCTGTTAGGGTAGTAGAGGCAGAAGCACTCACAACATTTGAGAATATTTAGATGTACACCTGTGATGCCAAGGTATATAAAGCTACAGGCCAAGTGCTGGAAAATGGGACTAGAATAGTGATTTGGTTGTTTTTGACTGATGCAGATTTGATGGGCCAAAAGGCCATTTTCAGTGCTGTAGACGTCTATGATGTTGTAAGTGCTGGATCCCTGGAAGCTGGTTCTCAAACTGAGTTTTTCCAAAAACTTTGTTTTAAAATATAACAGTGCTTTATGATTAAGAAACAAGTGCCATTATAATTTTTGATGTACCCTGTAAAACAGTGTACTGTAACATGGCCTCCTATGCACCATCCCAGTTATCCACTGCTGAAACCCTCAATCATGCCTGTGATACCTCTACACTTGACTATTCCATTGCACTCCTGGCTGATGTTCCATATTCTACCCTCCCTAAACATCAAGCCATCCAAAACTTTGTTGCTGGTGTCTTAACTTTCCCTGATCACCCCTGTGTTCAGTGACCTAATAGGATCTTAGTCTAGCAAATCTTGATTTTTAAATTCGCATCAATATTTTCAAATCTCTCCAAGGCCAAAACCTTCCAATTTCTGTAGTCACATCCAGTTGCACAATTCTGCATATCTGCACAACTCTAATTTTAGCCTCTTGAGATTCCCTGGTTTAATTGCTCCAGTATTGGTGTCATACCTTCAGTTCATATAATTATAGAGTCCCTACTGTGACAATGCTGACACTATTCTGCCCTGAGTTTTCTTTCTAGAGAGGTTGTAAAGGCAAAGGCGCTGTAGAGTCTAGGGAGCTACAAATTTAAAACAATTCAACAATGAAAGGGGAGTGGCCAGTTCTCCCAGTTCAGGCTTTTCTAGTTTTTTTTAAACTGTAGCAGTCACAAGATGTCTTGAGCACCAGGTTTGCAAGCTTCACTAAAGGATTCCTAACTGACTTTCTCTGAAATCTCTCTGGATATTGTTCCCTCCTGCCTGTAAAAATCTGTGTTTGAATTTACCCTTTTGCCAAAAGGTGTGTTTATGGGATTTTAATATATTGGAACTGTTAATTAGTTAAGTTGCTGTATCGGGTCAGTTAAGTTTTCCAAGAGTTAAGTTACTTTAAATTCCTCTTTCTTTTGTTCATGTTTCAACTGTAGTGTTTAAATAAATTATGTTTTTCTTAAAGCAGAGTGGTTTGACCAGTTGCATCACACCTGGTACACCCACTTTGCATCAACCTTTAAAAATAAGAAAAAGTTAGGGCCTAGGCTACCTTCTGAAGGAATTTTGAGAGGGTCTGGCCTGGTCCATAATACCGCAGGGCAAATGGAAGCCATTTGACCCATTGAGTCCACATCAACCTTCTGAAGAGCTGGATGCCCAATTCTATACCCCCACCCTATCCCTGTAACCTCAAATTAATCATAGCTGACTGAGTTAGCCTGCACATCCCCTGGACACTGTGGGCAATTTAGCATGGCTAATCCACCTAACCTGGTGGGACAGTCACCTAATGCTGGAACCGAACCCAGGTCCCTGGTGAGGCAGCAGTGTTAACCATTGTGCTGCCCAAAGTCCCCTAGACACTGAGTTCTGGGATTGACTCACAATGTCATGCTTCTCTGCCTCTTTCCAAGCACCTTGGGATGCTGTCTTATGTTCAGGTTGCCAAATATGTTTTTGTTATTGATTTTACAATTGTCCATAAACACATTCCATGTTTGAAATGATAGAATAAGCACCATTCTGAAGCATTCCAAATAACACACAAATCTCATCAAAAGACAATAATTGGACTATTTCAGCTGTATTTAATTTTGCTTTCTCATAGGGCCCAGGATTTCTATCGGAAGCACTTCTACTAAACGATGCATCGATGGTTGAGGCTTTTGATCCCAACTTTAATCTTCATGAAATCGTTGCTAAGGTAAGGAAGTTTCTCATACTCTACACGTTAAAAGATTAAGGTCTGAAGCTGTGCACATGATTCTTTACATATAAACTTGAAAAGCATTTGTTTCTTCCAGAAAGTGGAGCATCATGACTAAGATTCATGAAAGGTATTTGATACACAGTGCCAGAATGTTCACCTTAATTTTTATGGTACTTTGATTAGCATCCTTGATTATTTTTGAAAAATAGTTGTTTAAACTCATATCTCTTATAATTCGCTTCTCAGGTTCAATGATATCATTCACTTCTATAAGTGATCTGTGTGCTTTTTTCTGAAATGATTGGCCCTCAGTCTACAATGACCACTTTTTAATAGCATCATCGAGGAATATTATAATACTATCTCCTTGTGAGCAGGACCAGAAACTGCCATTTTCTGCACGTATTATCTTTCAGTTTTTCTCTCAAGGTGAACCAAATAAACACTTAGTGAGGTGAGACTTGATTTGAATCATTGAGCTACTTTATTTCCCATTAGTTGAGCATACAGAACAAGAGTTACAATCAGATTCAATTGTTTCCAGCAATACAATTTGCTTTTGCACAATGACATAAAATAATGAACTAGACTACACTAAACCACATCAGCCTGTGGTTTGAGCTGCTTAGAACTAACTTTCTAACATCTTTTTCTAGTATTTCCTTGTTTTTGCAGTACTCTGTGACCTTGCTGTCTCCAGTTTTTACAGTTTTCTCTCTTAATATAACATGATTCCATTGTCAGCTGAATAGCATTGACAGAGCAGCACTGAATGAGATCAATAACGGGAATGATAACGTGCATTGCTGGAGACAATGAAATGAATATTAAGATGTCCCATCTGAAACTTACGTTCATCATTGCCATTGTTCTGTAAAATTAATCAAGGATTTAATCAGGAGTTACATTTCATTTAATAGTAACTCATCTGGCAATTAGCACACCAATGTCTTCCATGATAACATAGAATATAGAGAAGTACTGCTCAGATACAGACCCTTTGGCCCACCATATATGTACAGACCATAATACTATTCTAAACTGAACCCATCTGCCTGCACATGGTCTGGATCTCTCTGTTCCCTGTCTGTTCACATGGCTGTCTGAATGACTCTTAAATGTTATTATATCTGCTTCTGCCAATTCCCCATAATTTGAAATCACAAAACTTGACAATAATTATTACCATCATTTATTTAAATTATGGAACTGTATGATGGCCCCCTCAGAATGAAGGTACATGTGAGTATTCCCCTTCTCTGTGTTCCATTTGATGATATATGTCATTAATTTCATTCTGTTTGCCAGCTTATAGGATACCATAAGAACGTTGGCGGGTCTGTGAATTAATAGTTTCAAGCTTACATCGACATTTTCAGCTTGGCAATGCTTTACTCATTTCTGCCGCTGTTGCTAGTAATCTTTGTTGAATTGTGTAAGGTTAGGCATATGAAAACACAAGTCTTCAATTGCATCCCTAATAGAATGAACTACAAATAAATGCTAATGCTGAAATATTCCATAATTATAGACTGAAGTAATACTTGGAGCAGCACTGTAAAAGATTTGATAGACCAACGTGATATTGAAAGAGAGACTTTCACTTCTGTAGTACCAGTATGACCTCATGACATCTCAAAATGCTTTACAACTAAGCAAGTACTTTTAAAATCTAGTCAATGTTGTAATGTAAACAAACACAGCAGACGATTATGCATACTGCAAGTTCCCCAAAATAGCAATCAAATAATGAGCAGATAATTTTTGTTATATTACTAATTGAGGAGTAAATATCAGCCCAGTTATCAGTGATAACTCCCCTGCTTGTTTTTGAATATTGCATGCAATCTTTTACAGAGAATAGACATGGCCTCAATTTCAGATCTCATTTGAAAGAAAGCACCTTCAGCAGTGCAGTACTTCCTCAATACTGCACTGGAGTGTTAGTGTAGCTGTTTGTGCTAAAGTTTCTGAAGTAAGCCTGTCAATCTTCTGCTCCATTACACCAATGTTTTTATTTGTTAAAAATGTGTTAAGATGAAAAAAACGTGCCCTATGAGATCAGAACCCTAATCATATAATTTAGCTGTCAGCAATAATTACACCTGCAGAAATGCTGATATGGAGCTAACCTTAAATTTACAAATGGAGCTGTTTCAACAAACAGTAATGTATTCTGGATGAACAACAAGTGACTTTTATTTCATAATTCCTTTGGGTACAGAATTAACTTTATTTCATTGTGGGTTAACATGCATTATTAATGGTGTGTGAAAGAGAAATTGCTCCCTGTTGGCTTAGTTGTGTTATATAAAATTTAGCTTAAAATACTGGGATGGTCTTGATTTCACTTACTGTCTTGTGTTCTTAGTCCACCTAAGATGCAATAGTAGTATTGGAGGCACCATAATTTGCTCTAGTACCTGGGCTATGAGACAAAAACATTTTAGCCCTTGATTGTTATCCAGGAATCCTTGTTGGAAATGGAAGCATCAGGTGACAAATCCCCAATGGTCAGCTTATACTTTCCATGTTTGCAAATATCAATAAGTAGTTAGGAGAGGCTAGAAATCCAAAGACTCAGTGAGACCTTACTTTGAATCCCACCATGGAAGATGGTGGATTTCAAATTCAATATAAAATATGGGACTAAAAGTCTATTGATGACCATGAAACCATTTTCAATTGTCAGTAAAACTATGCAACTATTGTCAATGGGCTTCAGTGAGCACTTGGGGGAAAGGCTAACAATGACACGGAGAGGGTTGAAAGATGGGATGTGGTTAATGACAAGTAAGCTGTGCGGCCTGGTGCTTAAAAAGAGCTAAGTGTTGGAATGTGCAGTTGTATAATCAAGGAGGCGTCTGCGCTGCAGGAAATGTCGGTTTGTGGCTACTTTGTATTATGTTGTACTATGTACAATGTCGAACTGTCAGTGCATGACTGGCTGGGGTTCCAAGATGGTGCTTGTGCCAGGGATGCTGATATTCTAGCAGAAGCAATCACTTCCTGTTCTGGTGAGCCAGAGAATTGGGCTAGCATCAGATGAGAATGGCACAGTAGAAGCATGGTAGACATTTAATGAGGTGACTTCGCACAAAACCACAAGAAAAGTCCTTCGACCTGGCATAGAGAAATCTTCCGTGAAACAAAATGAAAGTGACGCTTTGCCAAAATGGGGTAAGATTCAGCTGTGTTTGTTGAGTGCAGTCTGCCAGATTTAAAATCTTCTCCAAGACTCAAGCAGAAAATTACTAACAACTGCAAGCAAAAATGAACAAAACCTGTTATTGCCAGGAATATGGCAACATGAATGTATTTATGTGACCTTATTCTAATTGGAGGCATTTAAAAATATTTGCAAAACTGAAAGAAGTTACTACTAGATTGTGTGATGACACCTGCTATTGCTGGACTGAAGTTAGAGTACACATTTCTGACCTGGCTCAGAACTTGTTGTGCACCATTTCTAGAGAAGTTGGGTTGTTAGAAACTGTGTTGTTTGGATATGTTGTGTGAACTATGGTAATTGAAGGCAAAATAATGGTATAAAGTGCATGATGGTAAATTAACAAGATGAAAAGGTTGCAGGATGATTGCCTGATGGAAGTATAATGCCACCTCTAACGAAAACCTCAAACTTAAACTATAGATTGTATGGATTCATTTCAACATAAGACTATTTGAAGCACTTTTGAAACTACATAAAGTTATAAATAAGGCAGAAACACTCTTAAATAATAAAATGTATTTTTTGTAACAAATATTGTTTACGTAGGTTTGAGACCCATGACCTTTAATATTTCAGCAATTTTTTAATGATATGAAATAAATGCTCCTATTATGAAATGTATTTTAAAAATATAAGGATGTTCATCTCAGGCATGTTGAGAAAGTTATGACTGCCTGGTATAATACCGTCTACATAATCCATAGCAAAATAAAAAGTGCCAGGTCGATAACAGCCTTTTTATTACTTGCAAATTTATGTGATTCCCAAAGACACATTTAAATAATTTAGCATTCTTATTATGAATGGGAATAAATCTATTCGATTATTGTCCCACATTTTGTAATAAGAAGAATAGTGAAGCTATCAGAACTCACTTAATAAGGATAACAGGCAGCAAACACTCCACACATGGACGGGTAAATGAAGAAATCAGGAAGTCAATGCCTAAGTTTCCTTTCTCTACTAAGAGCTTCACGATAATACTATCTCATTAGCAAAAGGAGGGCGTGCAGATGCAGTACTTAACACTAAACATGCCAGAAAAAGTTATTGATTGTTCATTCAAATGTAGATGAATTTTAACAATGTGATAAGTCTTAAATTGCTGCCAAACAATTTCTCTTCCATTGAAAATGTATTCTTAAACTAGGGAAGATCACTTCCTCAGGTTTTGATTATTGTGGGAGATTCGAAAAAAAAGGGCGAAATCTTTCCAGACCCTGAATGATGAGGTCTATGGTGAGAAGATTTGGGAGAATTCTGAGAAGTTGAGCCACAAGTCCCAATGTTGGGAGTAACAAGTTTCTTTTTCCAAATAAATTCTGAAGGTGGTGATGAGATTCTCACTAGTAAGCAGCAAGAAGCCTATTGTCGGGGATTATCACTCATTATCATTCTCATTATGGCCTAATGTGTCTGCATTAATATCCAGGTTCCTAATTTCCACTCGCTGGATAGAAGCTATTTACAGAGAGTTCCCAAAATGAAAGTCAACTTGGGTACCTGGCAACTCCAGCTCACCAGTTGCTCCTCTGGACTTCCATCTTAGACAACTAGTACCGTGACTTCAGGGAATTCACACAACCTCCACAGGGTGCAGGCATCAGACACCTGCCAGCTTCTCCCGATCATCATGAAACATTTCTGATGCACTGCTGCACTGCCATGCTGCACTCTGAAGTGCATCGGCACCTCTCATTGCAATGCTGCTGCAGGGACACTTTGCACACGGACAGGCACCCAGCTCATGGACTTCACCAGG